ACCATTTACAGTGTTTAAGTGTGTAGGCAGAGTCATCCCTAGGGTACAGTGAATCGAGGCAACTGCCCCAGGCCCCATGCTTTTGCGGGGGGGAGGGGGGGGTCCTGTGGAGCCAGGTGGAGCAGCCACGGCCCCTCCTATGGGGCCCACCTGGAGCTGGCAGCTCAGCCCCACGCCACAGAAGAAGCATGGAGACACCCCCTCCCATCCCTTTGCGGGGGTACCACAGCCCCGCACAGTGTTAAGAGGGCCCCACACAGGCTGATTTGATCCAGTCCCCGCATCCCCCTAGGGTCGGCTTTTTGTGCAGGCAAGGCAGCACTCTAGCAAGCAGACAGCTACTTTTCAGCAGCACTTCTACCTTGATTCTCTGTCATTTTGTAAAATTAGTGGCAGAAGTTCATTTGAACTGTGAACTTACTGAAAGTTCTTGTAACACCCCAAGATGCTCATCATCCAATTCAGTGCTGTTTTTATTTCTACTACTGAAGGGAATAATCCATCACTTAAAAAAACAGGCAGTAACTGAATCATAAAGGTCATTATCTTGTGTGGAAATTATTCATGCCACACTGTACCCCTGCCTGTGGCATATGTTCCATTTATTCCACAATAATATGATTTTAATTACTTAGCATAGCTAAAAGGCAACATACCTACTTTACATGGAATAAAAAGGAAGTTTCGTATTCTTAAGGCTTTCAGCCTTCTCTCAGTGGAAACACTGACATTTTTTCTGATACACTAACAGCATCTCTATCACAGTTTTGGCAGACCATCATTTTGCTATAAAATTACCATACAAGAATACTATACAATATTTTCATTTACATTTCTGAAAAAAGATATCAGTATTTGTTATATGAATTATAAAGAACATTTTAAAGTGTTTGAATACAAAAACAATTCAGATATTTAAAGCAACAAATATTTGAAGGGCCTTCATGTACATGTGGACATAATTTATTAATGAAAGACTTCTTCTATATTTGGAAAATATTCATGTTTATTTTCCTTTTTAGTTTTTCAATTATTTTCCTGGGTAGGATATGTACAGAAAATACAACACAGTTCTATTTAACAGTTTGTTTTGAAAACAATAAGTTCAAGGTTTCTCCACATAGTTAAATTACTACTGTTCAAAAAAATTAAATAAACAAGTTATTAAATGGCAAAATAGTGGCTCCTGGAAAAAATGGACTTGTTAGAAATTCTTTACCATTCCAGCTGCAACAATTGTGTGCTCTAAAGTTTTCTTTCCCATAAAAATAAACCAATGTCTCTCAAGGAGGGCAATGTTGCATGACTTGAGAATTAAAAAAAAAAAAAACACATACATCCCAAAAGAGCCTAAAAAGAACATTAAGATCTGGCAGTTATTTAAGCATAAGCCCAAGTAAATGAAATTAAAAAGTATACAAGTGAAAAAATCAACAGAAAGAGATGAGACAACATTTTTCTTCTCTATATGGATAAATATCTTTACATAAAAGTAGGAAAAAAAACTGTCAAAGACTATGCAATATCCATTAAGTACAAAAACCATTTTAGCTACAGATTTGTACAAATGAAAGTTATGAAAGCAGCATGCTTTGACTGAACATCACTATAACTGCAAAATAGTTGAAAATACATTCATTTCGATCTTCCATACCAATGATTTTTTTAATATAAAAGAAAAAGGGAACACACATTTCAGTAATGTGCATTACATTTGGAAAGCAAGAAGACTACTTGAATTCCCTAGTCAAATAAAAAAAAATAAAACATCAATTGTAAAAATCCCTAATTGGTCCACTCTACTGAAGTGTTTTGCAAAATGGCCCTGTTGGACAACTTAACAAAAGTAAGTAAAGTCATGCTTGTGTTTGCCAGTGAGATTAAACAGTTGACTAATCTTCAACTTGACCCTAGGAATTAAACCGCCACTAACAAGGCACTGCTCTAAAACAACAAAATTAGACACAATAGGCCAAATGGTGTAATTTAAGTACCAAGCAAACCACACATGCCATATTCTGCCTCCTCCTCTTAGATAGATACTATTTCTGCCAACCTCCCAACCCTCAAACTATTAAATGTGTACGTTATACCACAAGTAAGTCACCTCTGAATTTTGTGCAGTAGAGTCTTCTCTTCATGTGCATTAATAGATTGAATATTGGAATTAAAAACACATTCCAATTTGAGCCCAAGATATTTTGACAGATACAATTTCTACTTCACAGCTAGCACAAATCAGAGATTAGGAAATCCCCAAAAGATCATGTTCCTCATCTTCCTCAAAGGATACTTTAATAAACCTCACTGGATTGCTCCTCCACCTCCCTTCACCTTGAATTCTTATAGCCATTCAAACCAGTTTTAGATCTCGGAGGTGGGGGGCGGGGGGGGAGGGGGGACCTCTATTCTGCTAGAGGTAGAAAGTGTATACTCCAATTACATATAATTATGTAGTTTTCAAAGAAGAAGAGAGTAAATAACTCAAAAAGGAAAAATGGTATGAAATCAATCAAGGCAACAATTCTTACTTTCACATGTCCAAAGTATAAGAAAATATATTTTTTAATATTTTGGGTTATAAGAGTGCCCCCCCGTGCTCCCCCTATGCCCTGATGCCTCACAACGGGGTTACAGGTGACTAACAGTCCTAATACTTTACTTTATCCACCGCTCATATATATGCTTATTCAATTTATATATGGATTTCTGTCATTGCCTGAAATCTACCTAACATTTTTCTTATTCTCAAATAAGAATGAATGTTTTCAAGATAAGATCTAGAGTAACCTTAGCCCTTGAATAATTAGCTTCATAAAAGCCACTCTAGACCTTAAATACATACTGCTTACCTGGGCTCAGATAACAAGTAGTAACACAAAACAAGACATATCCTTTACACTCTTAATCCCAAATCCTTATGCAGAAACTCCCAGAAAAGCCTCTACAGTCTCAGGAGTACAGAAGCTGCTCATTCCTGCCCCCACCTGAAAAGCCAAACACCAAGAAGGGATAAGGAAAAGAGTGGCCATGATTCGGAACCTCATGGATAAAGGAAGATTAATTCTTCCCATGCTCAAATACAACCCCAAAGAGACCATACTTAGAAGAGACAAGTTCTCCTGGGTTTCCCCTGTGCACCACCCAGATGCACGGGTGACTGGTGCCTGCCGAGTCCAGGGGGGCACCTGCAGGTGAGCTCCTGCAGGCGCCACCGCCGCCACCATTGCCGGCGGGAGAGAAGCTGGGGAGCTCCCGCAGGCACTGCCGCTGCCACTGGGAGGGCCCCGTCAGGGGGGGCACAGGCCCCCCGCCCCTGCTCCCCCCTATGCTTTGCCTATGCCCTGATGCCTCACAAAGGGGTTACATGTGGCTAACAGTCCTAATACTTTACTTTATCCACCACTCATGTAGAAGCTTATTCAATTTATATATGGATTACTGTCATTGCCTGAAATCTACCTAACATTTTTCTTATTCTCAAATAAGAATGAATGTTTTCAAGGTGGATACCAAGAAAGGCTATGTCAGTGCCTGGTGCTAACTGGCATTCCCAGGAGAGAAGTCTCAGCTCTGTGAGATACTTTATCTTACAAGTAATATGCCAGAGCAAGTCAGTGAGACAACAGGCACTGTGGTGGAAGAGGGTAAAGAAAAGCAACAACAACAACAAAAAAAACAGATAAAGGTCGGAAATTTAACTTACTCAACCCCTCTCAAGTTCCATGGCCTAACTCTTGTCTATTATGAATTCCCAACTTATTATTATGACAAGAAACAAAATCAAACTCTAACTGAAAGATTTTATTTTGTTTGTTAAAGATTTGGAAGTCTATGGCCAATCTTTAGGTAAAGGGGTTTATTAGTGCCTCATCCAAAACATGGTTCAGGGGGTCTTTACAACAAACAAACAAAAACAGCTGTTCCAATTTTTCAACACATCTTACTGGGCCCCAATTCTACCATTCAGAACACAAGGTTTCACCTTAGGTACAAAGTTTAATCTATTTCACCTATATGTAGCCATACCAACATCGTTAGGGCTCTACCTAAGAACAGCTGTCTGCCCACACATTGTAAATGGCAGGATGAGCGCCATCATTTCCAACTAACTTTTGGATAGATCACTTAAGTTTTGGATGGTTTGTAAGCAGAAAAAAATATTTAGATGTATACAGTAATAAAAAATTCCCATTTTTGTGCAGACCCACCCTTTCCAGAAATTGCATAAGCTTTGGGGCACGATCTACCTTTTAATTGTGTGTGCATGCTCTACCCACAGTTATCTAAAATTTATGAGGAGTAAATGTCATAGTTTGGTCAATTTTCAGGAACCCCCCCCCCAGCAAATCAGTTGTTTTAATTATAAGTGCACCAACAGTAATTGCCCTCCTTAGGGCTAAGCAGGTCTTTCATTAAAGCAACACTATAACATGTCAAATAATCCATATCCAAAAAGCTCTCTCAACTGGCAACAAAATATTCAAAGTATATTTTTGTATCAAGTTTGTAAAGTGCACAAAATATTAACTGAAATATTAATAAAAGGAGAAAAAAAGGCTTCCAATGCCATCACCAAAACTCTTAACTTGTTAAAATTAAATGAAACTTTTTGGCTCTAATATCTTGACAGAAAGCAGCAACATATTCAGAAAAATTACACCATGTTAATATACTGTACCTTAGCAGCATAAAAAACCCTACAATTAAATGCAATTGCAGGCTTAGTAAGCATAAACCTGACAAGTATTACAAATGTAATTTTTTTTAAAAAGAATGGATTTCAACTGAATCCTAGAGGTAACATCTGTAATTCTGTTTACATTATATTCTGGTAGTAAACCAACTATAAATCAATCACTTTTTTCCTCCAAATTGCACAAAGTAATGAAAAACTTAAGTCAGCGATATGGCAGTTGAAGGAGCCATATTTTATAAACAAACACCACATATATTCAAATAATCCCAGAAAATAACCATCATGTCTATTAGCTGCAGTATTACACGGCTGACCGGTGCTCCCCACACACATAGACGGCACTAGGCCGAATGCGTCTCCTTGTATGACCAGGTAGCTGTGGCAAAAACTTGAAGTACTTGGGCACTAAGTCTAAGCATGCATCGTGGAATTTCTTAATCCTCCAGTAGTAAATCAGCGGATTCAGTGCAGACTTGAGGTAGCAGAGCCAAAGGAGCCAAGTGCTTATCTCAAAAAAGTTGTGCTTGTGGTAAAAGTGGCCATTGAATGTTGCAATAAGGCTGTAGGTGGTGAACGGTGCCCAACAGATTATGAAGACAATGAACAAGATCAATATGGTTGTGAAGGCACGAGTTTTAAAGCTCATATCAATGTTCATTTGAAAAGGTCTCTGAAGACTCATGAGACCAAGTTTGCTGGCCTGGCTGAGGCATATGCTGTCAGGATGGCTATGGATACGAACTGCATTGTGGCGTACAGTGTTGAGTATGCCCATAAAAGAGTACAGCATCACCATGAATGGAATAAAGAAAGAAATAAGCAAGATTATAACCACATAAGCCCGGTAGCCAGGGCTTGTGGAATAGCCAAAAACACACTGAGGGGCTCTAGAGGGTATCTGCAGATTAGGGGTCCCAACAGATAGTGGAAAAGCCACAATAAAGGATGTAGCCCATGATATAACTATAAGAAATTTAGCACGGTAAGGGTTCAGTTTATCTTGCCTCTGGACAATAATGAGGAATCTATCAATGCTAATAATGAGTAGGATGGCTACCCCTTCTATAACAAACAGCCAGAAAAACATAGCAGAGACTCTACAGAAGATATCCCCAAAAATCCACCGAGTAGTAATGATGGTTATCAGAGCAAAAGGCATGTTCAGCACTGCAAGCAACATATCTGCAAAAGCCAGGCTTGCTAAGAGAATGTTAATTGCAGATCGCATGGCAGCCTTCTGGTAGACCATGAGGCAGACAACAAAGTTTCCTAAAAAAGAAACCAATAGTATAAATATCATAGCAGCAGAAAGAATGATCTGGAGTGGCAGACTCAAGCGCTTGAAAACTTCTTGTGATGGCAGGATAGCTGTAGTGTTCACTAGGAAAGTACTTAACTCAGGGGTGACCATGGCACCTGGACTGTATTTCAATGGCTGTGTTGTGCCACTACGAATCTGAAATTGGGGAGTAGTAAAATTCGTATAGACATTTTCATAGACAATAAAAGTAGCATTTGATGTCCCAGAATGGGCAGATGTCAACAAACCAGAGAAAACCATTGCTTCAGGATGATTGTATGCAGAGCCAAAAGTCTTCAAGGCATTTCAACCTGTAAGGGCAGTATCATGTTCCTTGGCCATTGACCAAATTGGGATCAGATACCCATTAACAGCAGAGCTCCAACTTTCATGTCTGGAAAACAAAACAAAAAATAAAGAAGAAAAGTCACAGAAGAAAACTTAAGATACATTACTAAGTTGTGTGCTGATAAAGAATACTCTCAAGTTTTGACCACACTAAAGTCTCTTTTCTGCTTCTTGGCTAATATTCGATGTCAGTGTAAAAGTACAACCTCATCATAACAAACCCCTTTTTTAACAATTCAAACAGGAGGAGCCATTTTGTCATTACTGTGATGCCGCAAATTAACTAACTTCATTATAACAAACAACCTCTTTTAATAAATGTTCCTCCTTGTCACACAGGGGGTGGTTTAATCATGAGGTTACCCTGTTTCTTTGTTTTTTTGTTTTTAGCCTAGCTAAAGCATATTAAAAAGTTGAAGACCCCTATAGTTTTCAAGGTGTCTGATAGCATATCTTCTTTCAAAAGCTCTAGCTCCTGCAGTTATGATCTTGTGCAAGAACCTCAATTTTCATTTGAATAAAAATTAATTTCTAGCCGTCATGTTCGCAGGGAAAAAAACAGAACTTGAAAACATAAAACCTAAAAGCTCAGATATATAAAGGCACAGGAGAATGCAAAACATTATCAGTGTTATAGTCTCATGGTTTTTAAACCACTATCATGTTTTAATGATTAAGTGCTGAAGATTGTTGTTACAATATTTCCAAGTGACTTGAATTGAAACCAGATGCACTCTTTAAAAATTTCCCTAGCTTTCTGAGGAAATTATATGCAGAGGTCATCAAATTCTGTGTTCTGACCTCAACAATAGAGAGCATCAAACATCTCATATAAGATGATGCATGAAACCCTGCTATGGTGTTAAGAATCGTACATGACATCTCTCCTGAATTTATGTTAGTTAGTTATTGCCTTATACCTAGAAGTATATGGCATCAGACCCTTGTAAAATGCTTCTGGATCCAATATAACATACCCATTGCCCATAACAATTCTAATGAGCTCTTGTATTATTGGTATTATGTTGAGTATTTCTTTTTTTTTAATTTTAAGTATATTACCTTTCAGTTTTATTAAAACATCCCAATATTATGATATTAATTCTCTGAAACACCTGTATTTTTAACCCCTACCACCAATTTGGGGTTATTAACTTGAACATTTTGATGTATTTTGGCATCCATGTGAGATGCAGATGAATGGCATTTCACGTCTGAATGAGGATGGATTACCATGCCCAGCAACAGAAGTGTCTGCTTTAGGTCTATTTTGGGATCAGGATGCACTGAGGAAGTGAAAGTAGTAGATTATCTTATCTGCCTTAAAACATACACCATGAGGCCAGTGTATGGTCAAGAACTCCCTTTCTGGGACTCAAAGCTCATGGCCCCTAGACTGGATACCTTTCCAGGACTAGACTTTATCATAAAAAAAAGAGACTGCTTCTCCCAGTGTTCCAAACTCAAGTCTGCTCTGAATCCTACCTAGGACCTCTATGCTGCAGAGCCACAAACCATCCAGTAGGCACAAAGGCATCAGGGCAAGCAGCTTGGCCTTATGTATTCCCTTCCTTGTCCTGCAGCTGGCTGCTGATCCCCTTTGCCGTCCTCCTTGCCTTGCTCTTTCTCTTTCTTTCTCCCTTCCCTCCCCCTCTGACATTGGCATTCACCTTCTCTCCTGCTCCTCCCCCCCATAGAGAGGGGAGCAATGGTCTGTGGTGTGGCTGAGTTGAAAGCACCCAGCTGGTCACTTTAAAAGGTTGAACTCCACTTCAGTAGAACATTCTCATCTTAAAGATTTCTTCCTCCATTTCAGATGTCCCAGGCCAGGAATGTCCTCCTCTCTAAAAATGACACTAATGTCAGATAATGCAAGACAAGACAATTGTTACCCTCTGTGTCTTAGAGAGACAATAAATAGACTAGTACCTCTTCCTGACCTGGTCAATTACAGTGCTTGTACACTCTGCCTCTGCTGCAGAAATCCATTCCTAGAAATGTAGAAATGTAACAATCTATTGATTTAATAATGCAATGTTTTATGTCATACTACTTGAAGAGAGAGGATTAATCATTAATCCTCTGGGGCCTTTGTATTTCAGATTCTTGCTTTTAGCTTAGTGAGAGCAGACTAAGCCAGTCTAGGCTACATATACTAATATTCCTGTAAAGATGACAGACTGACTTAGTTACTTCATTCTTGATTTTTATTTTATGTTAGCACCTCTGCAGGAAGAACTGATGTTAATAACAAGCTAAGGCACAAACCGCAGACCCATGATGACAGCATGCCTCAGAGCTTGCTGAAATAAAATTCCCACTTAGGAATTGAAAGTAAACACTTTTGCAGAAGACTCTCTGTAACCAACTGCACAAAGGAATTAGTTCCAGTATATGCAGGAAAGATGAAAAAGGATTTTGCATGCATGGGCCTCAAAATCCTTCTTAGCATGTGCTAATTGGAATGTGCAACCTCACACTTAGATGCCCAGAAACTATGGGGTGACAGATATTTCATAAAATCCTAAGGAGAAAAATCACTCTTAGGTGTTCTTATTTGGAAATAAGGAATTCTGTTTTAAATATATATTTATATATACAACAAACACGGGGAGGGGAGGGGAGGGAGTAAAGGCTAGAAGGTTTATTTTGCATACATTCTACCAACTCTGAAAGCCCACACTCCCTGTTTTTTTCTGCATATTCAGAGAGGATAATATTAATTGGTAGAATTAATTATAACATTTAATCCCGTTGAAAATGTCATGATTTCCTCAACCCTTTCCGTTGCAGAGGACAGTCTCTCCAGCTGAGCTCAAAATAAGCCTTTTTATGGTAGTTCCCATATAGAGATCTAGCAGTTCAAAATGATAAAGATACCAGATCCATAGACAGGAATAAATCATGTAAGCATGCAGATAGGCTACAGATGATTTTTCAGGCCACTGAGGAAAAGCAGGAAACAAAGAAGAGTTGAGCTTCTCACGTTTGGACCTGATTGCAAAAAACTGACTGGTCTCTGTTCCCAGAATTCTTTAATCCAATGACTGTTTAAATACAGAATACCCAGACAGTTGCTGGACTAGGGACCAGAACCTAGGGCTCCCATTTTCAAGCTGAATATACTACTCACCAGGCTACAGAATGATGCTTCATTTTGTGCTCACTCCCTTGTCCCATAAACTTTCGTTCTTCTTGGCCCTGTGGTACAACTTCTGTAGGCTAGGCCGAAAGTGCCCCCATCCAGCAAAGTATACAGTCTCATGGCTAGGGGACTCTCCTAGGGAATGAGGGTTTGTTTGTGAACCCCTCTGGCTAAGGAAGGTCCAAAGTCTCAGTTCTCCACCACTCTAAGCATTACTACTTAATATAAAAATGTGTGTGTTGCAAAAAGTGAGACTTGCTTAGTTCTTTTAGAAAACAGGAGAGGACTGTGGGCTCTGAATCCCAAGTTGATAAAGATAGCTACACCAGACACCCAAGTTCCTGAGGAAGATGGAGGTTTAGAGACATCCTTAGACTAGGCATTTCTATTGGCTGGCTCCCCAGTCATCAGGTGGGTGTTTTGGATTACCCATCTAAGATGTCTTACACCATGTGCTCTGCATAGAGCAGGTTAGGCAACCTATGGCCCAAGGGCCAGATCCAGCGCACAAAGGGATTGGGTCCAGTCTGCATTTTACTAAGGGAATGCCAATCCATAGCGGTTTGATCCAGTCCAGGTTTTGCTAATAGTGCAATAATACAAACAGCCCCCCACACTGGCATGGAGGGCTGCTCTCCCTCTCAGCAGCTTCTGCTCAGCATCCCTAGAGTGGCTGGCAGGGAATGGCAGCCCATGGCACTGCACCAGCTAGGTTGAAAGCTTGCAGCTTCCAAGGTTGCCAACCCTGGTAGAGAGAACTGAGGGACTTCTGCATTCTGCTCCGGGACTAGGCACCAGTAGTAGCACCAAATGTTGTAGGCTCTCAAGCTCATCAAATCTATTCCTTTGCTCTGATTACAAGTAAAGAAAGCAGTTAAGTGTACCATATCTAACTCCATTAATTTATTTTCACAAAGCCTGAGTTATCAGGATTTTTTTTAAATAGGGGCCACACTGCATCAAAAATGTGTTCAGCCTGTTCTAACCTCCAACTACCAAATACATAATAATCACTCACTCCATGCCTCCTCCCCCCCTTTCATCCTCCCTGCCAAAAATGTTTATCAAAAGGGGCTAAAAAGGTGTTCAGAACAGTTTTGTTTCAATCTGAAGTTGCTAGCAGGTAAGGAGAAATACTACAATTTCAGACTAGAACAGGGTCAGTGGAGAACAGTAATTATGTTGCACTTAAAAAAACCCATATATTAATAATAATTCAAGTAGGCAAGTTCTTTCCTAGCCAAAGTGGATAAATATGATGCTGATACATTTTTGCCATGATAAACCCACTTTTGGAATATGTACTCCTATTTTTTTCACATGCAAAAAAGCAACCATTCAAATTACTTTCTATATTGAAAAGGAAAAAAAAAAAATATTGGGTATTTACACTTCCTCTCAAACAGCTCTCTCCTTCAAAAGCAACTTTTTTTTCCTATAGAACATAATAGACCCAATTGTTTTGATGCAGTATAAACTTACAGCTAAATATCACACAAATTTCATGCACCAAATATAATTATTGCTAAATTTCTGATGTCTATATTTAGCAGCTTTGGAAGATAATATTTCCATTAGAATTCAGAAACCACGACCAACCAGAAGGAAAGACAAAGATTATGTCTCAAGCAGAAAGCCAACAACAAAACCAGGACCTCCCACACAGTCAAATGGGGCAGGGCTTTTTCATTTTTCTTATAGATGCAGAATTAGAGATACCATACGTTTTATGCAAAGCTAGTGTATATTTGGCTGCTACTTCAGTGATTCATTGCATTTAACTACTGTATTAATTTTCCCCTATCCAATTTTACCAAGATCCCTGCACCAGGTTTTAGCCATCCAACTGTCATTTTCTTCAAAAGCTAAAAGTTGACAGGTGTCTTGAACACAG